AGTAGAGATGGTTTATTCTGGAGGCATTAGAGTGACCATAGCTCGGAAACACAAACTTAGGTTACCTGAAATCCCAGGTTCCAGCCTGGAAGCAGCTTTAAAGTTTTTATAGTGTAAGAACAGAGAAACTCAGGAGGGCCTAGACCCTGCCCTGGATGAAATGACAGACTCTGGAGATTCACCATGGAGGGCCTCACCCTCCTTGGGGATCAGAGTGGAGATTGAGTGGGGGACGGGGGGGGGGGCCGTGGTGGGGAGGACGGGGGAGGAGGGAGGGAGAGGGAGCTGGGATTGACATGTGTAACAAGCTTGTTTCTAACTTAAAAAAAGGGTACAAATCTTTAATAACAGCAAATTTCGTTCAGAAAAATTGAGAAAAGAGAGCGAAAAAATGGATAGACTTATTTAATGCTCTCATGTATAGTGCATTAAATAAGAATTTAAGTTAAAAAATAGGAAAAACCCATAAAAAAGGAATATTAGCCCATAAAAATGCAGATAACAGGTAAAACAATATGAAAAACGAAACCTCTGATTTTTCCAGTTTTGTCTAGATAAATATTTTGGTAACATTAATGAAAATAGTAACCATTTCCATGTTGAAAATTAATAAATTATCAGTTACATGGAGTTGTCACTTACTAATGTTATGAGTACTGACCTTCAGAATTCACCACACTATGGTGATGGCCTGGGTTTGTAAGCTCCACACAAACAAATAAAGAAAATAATTTAAAAAAGAAAAAGAACAGAGAAACTCATACATTAAGGCCAATTAAAAACCCATTGGTGAGATGGGCGAGGGGGTGCATGCCTTTAATCCCAGCACTGGGAGGCTGAGGCCAGCTTGGTCTGCAGAGTGAGTTCCAGGACAGCCAGGACTGTTACACAGAGAAGCCCTGTCTCGAAAACAACAAACAAACAAAAAACCAGACACACTGGTGAGTACGTCAGAGAGCAGGTACACTGAGGCACGGAAAGCTTTCCTATAGGCTCAGGATGCTACCTGATGACATTTTAGCTTTTGGATTGGTAGAAACTAGTTGCTTGCTAGTTTTGACCACAGAGGAGGGCAAGAACTTAGCCCAGGGGGCTGGAGAGATGGCATGGGGGCTGGAGAGATGGCTCAGAGGTTAAAAGCACTGGCTGCTCTTCCAGAAGTCATGAGTTCAATTCCCAGCAACCACATGGTGGTTTACAACCATCTGTAATGAGATCTGGTGCCCTCTTCTGATGTACATGGAGGCAGGGTGTTGTATTTGTAATAAATAAATAAATCTTTAAAAAAAAAAAAAGAACTTAGCCCAAGGGAAGGTCATTAGCCTCTGGGCCTGCAGCTTTCCAGCCTCTCCCTAGCACTGAAATTCTGATCGGCCAATGGTCTCTGCAGACAGGCTCCTCCCAGGAGTTGCCCTGCACAGACAAATGCGGCTTCGCTTTGGAGTTCACACTGTCCAGTGTCCATTTCCCTGCTGAGAACATCTGAGTGTGGTATCCCTGCCTTCATTGAACTCACATCTCCCAGCCGGAGTGCAGATTATCCATTAGCAGTCCACATCTCCTGCTTAGAAAAGGTCTCTCGCATATGCTTAGCCTGTGGTCTAATGGGACATTCTCATTGCCATAGTATGAAATGAGACTCAGCAGTTTAAAATTGCATCCATGGACTCACTCACTGTATATGTGGTGGGTGGGGGCATGCATGTGCCGTACACGAATGTAGCAATCAGAAGACAACTTTTGGGAGTCAGTTTGCTACTTCCGCCATGTTGGATGAACTCTGATCATCAGGCCGGTGGCCTGTGCCTTCATCCACTGAGCCATCTCATTGGTCCAAGACACAGTAATTTTAAAAATGCCAAAGATCTCAAAATGTATGCCATGAAAATCCAATTCACTAAATATTAGATGAAGTAGCCTCAGGGCTTTACAGGCAATGAAAATGTGCTTTATACCCCCCCCCATTTTTCCTTAAAAGAATGTTGATGATTGTTCCAAAATGTCCATTTCTTTAAAAGTGGAAATTGAGAACTAATGACGTATGCTAACTGGAATTGAATGAAGGTCAATAAATGAGATTTTCTCCCCCCAGATATAAAAGTAGCATTCATAAACATTCAAGAATCTGCTATAATGAATCTAGGTTTTGTTTATTCCTTGTTCAGGGAATTCCCACTTTGATTTCACTTCCACTTGCCCACAGAGGCTGTTTCAAGCTGCACAAAGGTTTCTTCTCAGCGAAAGCACAGTGGACGGCCCTCTTTAGGTGGGCATGGTGGACGGTGTTCTGATGGAGGTTGCCCTTCTGTATGTATGTTTCTCTTATTGGTTAAGGAATAAAACACTGTTCAGCCAATAAGGCAGGAAGATAGGCGGGACTAGGAGACAAGGGGAATTCTGGGAAAGGTAGGCAGAGAAAGCCCACCAGAAAGAGTCACCATGTAGGCTGCCAAAGGAGTAGCAGGTCCAGGCATTCTCCAGTAAGCCAAGACCACGTGGAAATACATAGATTAATAGAAATGGGTTAATAACTAAGACAGAGCCAGCCAATAAGAAGCCCTACCCGCTGGCCAACAGTTTTATAGCTAATACAGCATCCATGTGCTCATTTGGGGCTTCGGTTCCCTCTTCTCCCCTTCTCTCCCCTTTCTTCAGGCTCATCTTCTCAGGCTCTCTTCACTTGGGTCTCACTGACTCCATGCCCACTCACCCTCCGCACTCTCCAGACAACTGTGCACTTGTAACTTATATGTTAGTCTTCTTTCCTGACAGCCCTGCTCCTGTTAGACGGCCACGGTGATTCTTTTCTTTGGTACTTAAACGAATTTGTCACCATGTGTGTCCTGGAGAGGACAGAAGAAAAGAGACTCTGTAGTCTTTGCTCCAGCTTCACGTTTTCCTCTGTCAGCGATCCTTGTGCCCTCTATAAAGAATAAAGCTCGCCGGGCATTGGCGGTGCACGCCTTTAATCCCAGAACTCGGGAGGCAGAGGCAGGCAGATCTCCATGAGTTCAAGGCCAGCCTGGTCTACAGAGCGAGTTCCAGGACAGCCTCCAAAACAACACAGAGAAACCCTGTCTCGAAAAATCAAAAATAAAATAAAAAAATAAAGCTCACCTTTTCTGCTCTTATCCCACCACTCCGCCGTTGGGCTCCCAGTCTTTTTAGTCTACCCAAGCTTGACATTACTTAATGTGGTGGACAGAAGCTAATAACTACACTGTCGGGAACATGGGAGCATGTGGGGAAACAAGTGTGTGCCCTCACAAACTGGTCACCATAAAACGAGAAAGCTGAGCTCTGCCTGGGACAGCTCCACACAGTACAGAACCAGTGAACGCACAGACTCCACCCTACCAAAGACTGGATTTGTTGAGCCGGGCAGTGGTGTCGCACACCTTTCATCCCAGGACTTGGGAGACAGAGGCAGGCAGATCTCTGTGAGTTCAAAGCCAGCCTGGTCTACCGAGCTCGTTCCAGGACAGCCAGAGCTACGCAGAGAAACCCTATCTCTAAAAACAGAAAAGAAGGAAGAAAAACAGAAAGAAAAATGTGGGATTTGTTAATAGACCACATGAATCGAAGGTCCCTGAGAGCAGGCAAGAGTGGCCTGAAATGTATACTGCACTCTTACTCACCAAACAACACCAAGAGCTTGGCTTCTCTCCTGGGTATCTGGGAAGTAACGCACGCACGCGCTCGCGCACACACACACAGACACACACACACACACAGACACACACTCACACACTCATTGAAGCTGAAGTCCACATTTTCCCCTCCTCCCCCACCCCATCCCCTGGCTTGCTGCCAGTTTCCTGCTCCTGAGTGTGAACCACCAGAGGATAATTAAGTCTCTAAGCTCCAGGGAGCCAATTAGCAGAATGAGAGCTAGTAGAACCAGAAGGCCCCAAGAGCTTTTGTTCAGGCCCCCTTATTTTGCAGTTCAAGTGACAGTGGCTCAAAGGGTGTGACACACACATTACTGTCACCTTAGGCAAGTCCGTTAGAAGGTCTGGACCTTGGTGCCTCCCTCTGTGCGAGGGACTGGAGGTGATTTCAGCTATGATTTCTAGGCATATCCTCAGGGCCAGGGCTATGTCGAGGGGCTTATTTCACCCCCTTCTGTACCTCCATACATGATTACCTTCAATTAGAGATGAGATCACCAAAACACAGAAAAGCTCAATAATTTGTCCAAGATCAGACAACTAGGGAATGCTGCAAAGCTGGTCTAGGACCAGTTATATCCACCTCCAGAATTCTTAAATCCTAATTATTAAATCCCTTTCAAGGGATGCCCATCAAGTTATACTTTGAAAAAAACAGTTAAGTTTCCCAAATATCTTGCATCATCTATTAACAACCTAGAGGTGGTGGTGAACTCTGACCCCAGTGTCCCTGCTGGGTTCTGCATCCCCCAGGCTGTTCCTGAGCTCCCACAGCAGAGGAGCGTACAGACCGTAGGCTGTCCGGTCTGCAAAGCATACAACAGTCACTCTGGCCGATACAGAAAATGTCTGCTAAGCTCTGGTCTACAGCCTTCAGAGATTTGGTTCTGCCATGGCATAGCACTTAACAGCTTTCCTGGGCACACATCATTCTTCAGGATGGTTTCCTAGGGGCATTCACATTACAAAGGGAGCTACAACTCAGAACTTAATAAGTCAAGCCACGGTCTCAGGTTCTGGCTCCCAACTGCAAGCTCTTTCCTGAAGTCACCCTGGCACCCTAACTGTCTTCCTCTTACTGTCAGGGAAGGGCTTGAGAAGACAAAAGAATCTAAGCACTGCCAGCAAGTTCTTCTGGCTACAGAGAATATCCTTCCAGATTCCCTCATGGAATGAGGGTCATCCAGGGGTAAAAATGTTTCATTTGGGACCACTTTGAAAGGAAAGTATGCCTTAAAAAAGACTCATGACAACTACAGAAAATACATTTGAAATACATAACACATTCAGAAGCACTCTTCCTCATAATAAACATTCTGTAAACATAGGTTAATTTTATATGATTTAATGCAAAATGTATAGGTGAAACAATCCATAACAATTTAATTGCAGAGCTTTACCAAAACAATTTTTTTTTCAGGAAAAAACCCACAGGCACTTCTAGTCTGAAAATACAAGCTTAGTAGGAATCGTATGCTGCTGAAATACGGCTCAGCTTCAAGAACTTACTTGAAATACACGATATGGTAAGACTAGCCTTCCTTTTGTCAGATTGCTTCTGAAATAGATCTTGATATTTAGTTTCAAGGAATGTAAGATGCATATGAGGGCATCCTACAATCACTGCAAGGGAAGGAAACATGCTTATGAACACATTATTTGACCAGCTGCTTGATACATGTGAGGTATCACTACTTCCTTACCTCTGTGCTCAGGGTCATTCCTCGGCCTGGTGTCCCCCCAGCTGGAAGGCAAAGCTTAGCAGATTACTAAGTTCTAAACTCTCCCCCACTGCGCAGTGTAGATCCCAAATACACTGAGACCCCTGGCCAATATTTCATCAATACTCATTTAAAAGCAGAACTTGTAAGCTGGGTGTGGTGATGCACACCTTTAATCCTTGTCCTCGGGAGGCAGGGGCTGGTAGACCTCTGAGTTCGAGGCCAGCCTGGTCTACAATGAGAGTTCCAGGACTGTACAGAAAAACCCTATATTGAAAAGCCAGAACAAGCAAAACCCAGAGCTTTCGTTTTGCCTTTGCGAGGTGGCTGGTGCTCTGTAATTTAGTTGAGCCCACACTGTAACACTTGAAGGAGGAAATGTTATTCATGCCTTTAATTACTCCCTTTATGGAAGGCAGAGAATAGAAGCACCTGGGCCTATGTGGGCTTTACAAGCTTTCGTGTAAAAGCACTTGAACTCAGAAAACTGTCCTAACGGAACAGCAGAATTCTGCATAAAGATAATTACCTTGGACCCTGCCCATAACAGTGATCGAAGATCCTAGCATGAGGCCTTTTGATTCATGAATGATGCTTTATTTTTGCGACTAAAATCCCTGTTCACTGAGGCAGTGATAGATTATAGAAGCCCCAAGGGAAGGCACTTCTTACAAGTTTCTGTACCTCCCTGGGGAGCTCAAGCCCAGTGTTTGGCACAAGTAGGCACACTGACATCTGTTGAACTTGGAAAGCCTGTGGGTGTATTTTCAAGATTGGTCCCACAGCATAGGCTCAAAGGCACCAGAACCAGTGTACTGAGATGCAGATTCACAGGGGAACCTGCAGATTTAACAAAGAACAGTTAATTTGAAGGCACTAGTTCAGTTCCATATAACAACAACAACAACAAAAGAAAAAAAACTGGAAACAGAACAGCCATAGACAAATACCACAAAAGTTTTTTTTTTCCTTTTGCACAGACCCATAGTTCATCAGAATCCCTTTTACTGTTCTCTCTGCGCAGCGCTGCTGACACTGCCGAAGGACTAACACTCCAGCTTAAGTTTCAGGTCCAGCAGAGAGAGACATCTGTGGACATGATGTTGTTGTTTGTCTCTTCCGTTGTAAACACTGCTTAGGAAAAGGGCAAGAAGATCATGTGTGCTTTTTTCATATCTGTATTCTTAAATGTTTTTTTTTTTTTACTCCAGGTTATAGGAAAGCGTAGAGACAGAAGAAACCATTAGGAGACGATCGTTCACATTGTGAAGGGACTTTCCATTTATTTCTATTGAAATCTGCACTCCCTTGGGGCCCTGAACTTGGGGTGCCACTGAAGTGCAGCTTTTCAGGAGGTTTCCAGAGTGAAGTGAGGTGCACCCACATCTTCATCTTGATTCTCTGCTGAGGATAATCTTGCCTCTTGTTTCCAGTCACAGGCTGGGGACCACACATAGCTGGTGAAGGGAATCCATGGCTTATCTTTTCCAGGATTGGAGGGTTTGAGGAATCCAACCATCACAGAAAGACCCACTCGTGGGCACAGCTCTTCCGCTGCACACCCACCGGCTTTCAAAAGCAGTGGACTGCCGCTCATTGACTCTGCCAACCATGGGTCAGAGACCAAATATGTCTAAGATTTAGAGGCTACGTGGACCCCATGAAGGCCCGTGGCCAGAAGGGAAAATGACTTCTCCACACGGATGGCAGGTAAGGACATCATTGCCCCTTAACAGACAGACAGCCCAGCTCTCCATAAAAAGTCACAAGGGCCTGGGAATCTCCCCCATCCCATCCTTGCGCTAAACAGTATTAACTGGTAACTCATCTTTTCCCCATCAAGCAAAATTGGGTAGTAAGAAAACTCAGCCAAGGAGGTGTAGTCAGTTCATAGCAGAGTGGCCTCACCGCTCAAACCAGCTTGCCAAGTTTGGGATGCTCTTGGCCTGGTCCCCAAAGGTCTGCACAGCTTGGCATGTCCGGCACCACGGCTCATCCCAGAAAGAGGTAATGTGTACCGCATAGCTCCGGCGCCAGTGGAAGTAGCGGCGATAGACAGCCAGGTTTCGGTCCAGAAAGAGCAGGTAGGCAGCCAGGGAGGCAGCACTAGGGAAGTCATCCACGTGGATGAAGGATCCACGAGGCACGAAGCGCTCATAGTTGGCACGGTCAGGACCCAGCACCACTGGCACAGCCCCGGCCAGGAAGGCATTCCGCCACAGCTTCTCAGTGATGTAATCCACGTGCTGTGAGTTCTCGAAGGCCAGGTAGAACTTGTAGCGGGCCACAGTGTGTAGCAGTCCGCTGGCTGGCACTGGTTTCCCGGTTGCTGCTCGACCAAACACGTCCACAGGCACATGCTGGATCAGCTGGCGGTAGTAACGGACCCGTGCCTGGCGCTCATCCCAGTGGCTCACAACCCAGGCCACCAGACCCCGCTTGCGGGCCAGCGGGGGGCTCAGGCCTGGCGGCTGATCAGTTGGATGGCTTCTGGGATAGAGGAAGCCATAGGGCACGAAGACATCCGAGTCGGCCCGGTAGGACAGCGTCCAGTTGAAAAGGTTCTTAGCCAAGTCCCGCAGCCCAGGGGAGTGGGAGGGCGATTCGAAGTTCATCCACACCCAGCGTTGACCCGGGGGTCTCGAGCCTGCGGTCTCCAGGGCTTCGCCCGCTAGCATCGCCGCTCCCTCCTGGTCGTCGAACACACGTGGCTCCAGTGCCTCGTCAGTGCGCACTTGGGCGCCCCAGGGCGGGGGCCAGTCGGGGGGTCCCTTCACCAGGTCACGGTGGTGGAACAGCACTGCCTGAGCCTCACCGTAGGCCGCGCGGTCGGTGAGCAAGCGACAGCCGCTGATGTTAAAGCGCAGGTTACAGTCAGGGGGAGACGTGGGGTGGCCGCCGCGCCCCCCAAAAGGTTCCCACCAGAGCAGCACGCCCACCGGGCGCGGCGGGGTTGGAGATGCCCAGGGGAGCGGCGGCAACTGTCCCCAGCAGATGCAGGCGGTCAACGCGGTGCCGAGCAGCCCGGCTACGGCCAGCGCAGAGGAACTCCGGGGTAATCCCCAGCCTCTGCGCACTCGTGCGCGTTGCCGGGTCCCCGGCGTCCCCATGCAGAGCCCAGAAGCGGCCGCCTCCGCTCGCCACGCGTCCACCGACCGCGAGGGGCGGCACCGGCTCTCGTACTGCCGCTCGCGGCCGGCCGGGGCCATGGAGGGGGCGGGCCAGGCATCGACAGGCCCGCGGGCGGTGCCGCGCCCCTCCCAGGTCCAGGGCGAGGTGTGAGCGGGGTGGACAGCCTGGCCCGGCGCCACCCTGTCCCTCCCAGACACTTCGCTCCCAGACCTGCGGGTCCGGGCCCAGGGCGTTTCCTGCTGCGCCTGCGCTGGTTCCCCAGCTAGGGCTCCTGAGCTCCTCCAATGCTCGCCACCGTTGCAACCTCACCCGGGGTCCCGGCCTCACGGTGCGCGTCCGCTGTCTCCGCGCCTAGGTGGCCTAAGCTCTCGCTTTTTAGAGTTATGGACTCCAGAGCTCCCCAGAAGTCTCGAGGGGGTGGTATGGTGGTGGTGGGGGATGCGATTCTACTGCAGAACTCAGAGCAGAATCAACTTCCTTCCGTATTGCCCGCTGCCGGGCCAGTGATGCCTGGGGCGGGAGGGGGTGTGGGACTCAAGCCCCAGAACAGCTGGAATGGAGTCCAGACCTCGTGCGCATGCAAAACAGGCCGGCTGTGGAGTCAGGCACCTGCCCGGAGCAGTGTGACGGGTCCCAAGAACGTCCCAAAAGGTGCTAGTGGGTCCATCGTAGTACAGAAGGCAAGTGTTATCTGAGCTATGGAAATAGATTCTTTCCTTGACTCCCATCAAAAAAGAAAAAAAAAAGATTTTAAGGATTTTATTTCACCGAAACGGATCATATACATGACTTTACCCAAAACGGCAAGCTAAATTTGCTTCGGTTTCTCCAGCCCATGTATTTACAATCTAATCCTTTTTTAGATTGTGTTTTACTTTGTATGTATGGATGTTTTGCCTGTATGTGTACTGCGAGCATGCCTGGTGCCATGGAGGTTCGAAGAGCGCATCGGATCCCCTGATTGTGAGCCACCATAATGAGCACTCTGTGAGAGCAACAAGTACTCTTAAACACTGAGCCATCCATCTCTCCAGCCCCCCAAACAGATTTCTGACCATGAATATTCAATGGAAGGATGACACATAAGAACTTTTTTTGCTTGTTTGTTTGTTTGTTTGTTTTTTTACGAGACAGGGTTTCTCTGTATTGTTTTGGAGGCTATCGGTCCAGCTTGGCCTCGAACTCACAGAAATCTGCCTGTCTCTGCCTCCTGAGTGCTGGGATTAAAGGCGTGCGCCACCAACGCCCAGCGACACATAAGAACTTTTAAATATAAACAGACAAGTCACAAGCAGGCGTGTGGAGCACACTGTCATGGGGATATAGCTCCACTTTAACTAATACTGACTTGAGATGTACTCTGATTTTCATAAGCAATTTGATGCCACTAATGTGAGCGTGGCTGAATGCCTTTTGTATAATCCTTGAGTTATACAACTTCCATCATGGTCTCTGATGCAAAACCAAGTGATCTATAGGAACTCCATTACTCCATTCCCCTACCCCCACACAATTGCTGGCCAACTGCTTTCCTGGGACTTCAGGCTGAGGATGCATAAACCATGAATGGCCACTGAGGCCCAGTGTTTTGAGAACATTCTACTCTTAGCAGAGTGAATTAGGATCATTATTTTTAAGCCCTTAGGAAACAATTTCTACTCCCAAGAAAGTAATGCAAAATACTTGGGACTGTAAAATGGTGAATCAGATAAATGTTCTTGTGCCCAAACAAAGGGTATGTCAGTTCTTCACGTGTATCCAGGCGGTTACAACCAGGCATCCACATCTGCAATCACTTGGAAAGCTTAGCCCTAGGGCTAGACTGTGACCTCCTGGGCTACACCCTCTCTTATTATGATGTTACTCAGCTGTTATCAGGTGGAATTCTAAAGGGGGGGGACTGATTTCAGTCGAGGAAGCAATTTAAGAAGGGTTTTAGTAGATCCCTGATGTGCAGCCCACGGTTCCAGCTTACAGTGTGGTACCCATATAAGCTCTGGAGAACCTGTTGGAAACAGAGCCCTTCATATCATCAGTACAGGGGGGCTGGAGAGATGGCTCAGCGGTTAAGAGCACTGACTGCTCTTCCAGAGCAACCGCATGGTGGCTCTCACATATCATCAGTACAGGAAACACACCTGGATTTGCCCATCTGGATGCATTTTCATGGATTTGTTTTATTTTTTTCAAATGTTTGTTACATTTTGACAGGATGCCTGAATGCCATGGTACACACGGGGAGGTCAGAGGACACCTGGCAGAAATGGAGTCTCTCCTTCCACCACATGGGTCTTGGGGGGGAATCAAGAGTCAAATGTAGAAGCTTCTAGAAGCGTCTTCTGGTGGCTCTTCCTACCAGCACTCAGCAAGAGAGTGGTCACTACGGTTTACACTCATGCGCCTAGTAGTTTTCTCTTCCTGCACCTTACAACATTTTATAGTGTTTCTAGCGTAATGTTTTAATCAAAAGATGAAATTCAACAACTTTTATTTGGAAATAGAAGTTTCAGTAATTTCCCACTGTCTGTGTTTGAGCTAGGGCCTCCTGTAGCCCAGGCTGTCCTTGAGCTGACTACATAGCCAATCTCCCTGCCTTCCCTTCCTGAATCCCGGGACCACACGCACGATCCACTAGTCCTGGCTTCCTGCTGCTTGTCTTTATTAATATAAGAGCTATAAAGGAACAAACAGCATGTTCTAAGCAAACAGGGGTGGGTTGCTTTCCTTTTAGGCAACAGACAGGCTCTGGTGAACAGGTGTGTTGGTCAGGGAATCACAACAAGCTTTTCACTACAGATGTTCTTTTATATGTTCCTAGAAAATCATTAAGCCATCAGTAAGGGATGAGCCCAGTGAAGCCGGAGTGGAAGGGAACACAGCAGGGAACGTGGGTCAGGGAAGCTGTGAGAACACCGGTCTGTCCCTTAGACCAGATTCGATGGCTCAAGAGTCAGGCCACGCCTCCCTGCCGCTCTGTCTGGAAGAGTTAAGAAGCCGTCTGTGCAATATGACTTGACAGGTTTCAGTCTGCGGTATCTGGCTCTTCTGTGCTCGTGTTTACATGTGCTATATTGAATTAAATCGTATCATGATGCATCGCTTCCTGGAAGAACCCCATCGCCCCAACTCATAAAAGTCTGATATTTATCTTGTTGCTCTCGGTAGAGGAGCCTCTGGATGCCTCTATCATCCTCTCCTGGCAGCGTCCCCTCCCCCTCCTGTCTCTGAATGAAGCTCCTCTCTAGATTTTTGTTTGTTTGTTTGGTATCTGAGATGGGGGTTTCACTGTGTAGGCCTGGCTGTCCTTTAACTTGTGCTGTAGACCAGGCTGGCCTCTGAGATCCGACTGCTGGAATTAAAGGCGTGCCCCGCCACTGTCAGCTACTCTCCAGGTTTTAAATGGAGGCCTTTACCTCCTTGTAGGATGCTATCACAAATATCCCCATGTATTGTATTGCTTCTGTCTAATGCTCTTCCTGCCTTCTTGATGCCTGCTCAAGGTCATTTCTCTAAACACACCACATCTTCTATGTGTCACCTGCTTTTCCAGTCCAACCACTGCTAGTCTTCCTCTTTATTCAAAAAAAAAAAAAAAAACAAAAACGACTGTTAGAATTCAAATGTGAACCAAAGAAGGCCTAACCTGTGGCAATAGCTGTGAGGATGGGAGATTATTAGAGAAGACACCTAGGTGGTCCTCTAGGGAGGTTCTCTAGATACTGCTTGGGAAGGCTTTCTGGATTCCCACATGTATCTGTTGCGTGCAAATTACCCCTTGGGTGTGTTTGTGTTGTTTCACGGGGAGGGGATGGCGGCTGTTTCAGTCACAACTCCATCAGCAGCACCAAGCCAGTCACCGAGCAGTTGTCATGCTCCCAGTGACTTCCCACAGAATGGACAAACAGATGAATGGTGGCTCTTACTGTATTGCTGAAGTCATCTGGCCGAGATCATCTGTTCCCTGTGAGAAAGATGTGACTGTGGGAATGGCTTCCTGTGACCTTGAGACACCCCAGAAGCATTCAGTGGAAAATTACACACATGTGTTAATCAAGATTCAAACTCATTCAATTAGGACACTAAGACTGATGCAGCCCAGACCAAATTTACATTCGTATAACAAAAGCCAGGGAAATGTGGACTCTTTTCAGAACCTTCGAAAGACAAAAGAACTTGGAGTGACCCCATCTAGATTTCATGGAACAAAAATGGGTAGAAATTGGTTCCTTGAAAGATAATATGAAGACGGAAGTGATGTGAGTCAGGCAAAAACGTGCCTCTCTCGGTGTGTGAGAGATTTTCTAGGGGATGAAGGGGCTGGGCTAAATGAGCTCTCGAGCCTCCCAGTTCTCACAGGACGTTACTCAGGGGGAGTCAGCTTTCAATTGTCGGCGTGAAATAACGGCCACGTCAGTTATGAGGAAGGGCTTTGGATGCTGAGGTTTGTGTAGAGAAACACTTTACACACGGGCCAATGGTCAGGTGCAGGGGTTCAATTCACAACGTGCAAAGGCTGCCTAGTTGCCTCCGGTTTCGTAAAGGACCGGGCTACCACCCTAATTCCTGCATTCGAACACGTTGTTTTGTTCTTCCCCCATGCAAACAGGTCATGTGACTTTTCTGTTTGTTTTTGTCTCATATTTTGAGTCAGGGTCCGTCCCATGGAGCCCCAGCTGATCTCAATTCACTGGGCAGCCAAGGCTGATTCTCCTGCCTCCACCTCCAAGAGCTGGGGTTACACGTGTATGCCACCATGCCCATCAGGAGACCACACCAGCTCTCCCTAAGACTACCTTAGTGTTGCCTACCAGAGAGAAATGGTGTTTCCCGTGGAAGCCCCGGAACATGTTCTGATGGCCTCAGTCTGTCCCTAAACTCAGGGAGAGCCCGGCTGCTCTCAAAGGCGCTGACATTTTGGGGGTGGGTGTAAGGTTTCTGGAGCTGAATGCAGGCCTCTCAAATGTGCTTTCCTGAAGAGAGAGAGAGGCAGTTCAAAGTCCAATCTGATAATAGTAAGTTTGTGCTTATCCTAAAGGGGAAGGGCCGGTGAGCAGGTGTGGCAGGGAAGGCAAACAGGCAGGGCTGTTTCTTTGTCAGGAACACTTTTTTATCTGCCTGACTGAGGAAATGGGCAGGGAAAGAACATTCAGATAAAGTTGTTGGGAATTGCTTAGGATGAGCATCAACTGCCCTGTTATATTCTCTACGATGCTGCTGGTGGTGCGTGTGTGCTTATATGTGTGTATGATGTGTGTGTATGCGCATGTGGGGTTATGTGTGTGTGCGCACGCGTGTGTGTGCAGGGTTGTATATGACAGGTCAGAAGACAGCCCTAGGTACAGGCCTTTGCTTTTCACCTTATTTGAAAGGATCTTTTGTTTCTCACTTCATATACACATCAGGCAACCGACCTGTAAGGCTCCCAGGATTCCTCTGTCTGCCATCTTGAATCATGCTGCTCTATTTGGCTCTGCATAAGTCCTGTAA